TGTCCCAAGGTTCTCACTAGTCCTAAATGAAGCCTTAATTTTCCTCTCTTGCCTGTCAGCACAACACTCCCATGAGTGCTTGAGGATCACCCAGGAACACAGCACAAAGGCAGAGTGAAGGAGAACTGGATGCTCAGGTTTAGGTTCAGCACACCTTCACCAGTTCATCATCCCTCTCCCATGCAAACTGTCTCTGACTTACAACAGGTTGTCTACAGTTCACCTGTGGCCTGGGATCCTGCAGGCATGCTGCTCTTATCGACACTCAGCAAGCTCTGGAGATAATTTTTTAAGTACACATGAACCCATTATCACAATGGAAGCTGCTTTACCTTTCATCTTTCATCAGGTGAATAAAGTTATTGCAAATACAGTGAAGGCATCTAAAATCAAGGGATAAATGCTGGAATTCCAGTCTGTGGACCACAGCACAACTAACAGCAAGTTCTGTTAAAAGCTCTGTTTGGTTGCTTGTTGTGATATTTACCTTCCTTTGCATCTTTGTGGCAATTCATAGTTTCAACATTCCCTAGTGTAACATGAGTAACATGACATTATGTCTAGATTCATTAGGTATGGGGACTTAAGTTTGTATCAACTGAGCCAGTATTTTCAAGTTTCTGATGGCCATAAATTAGCCATTCTCAACATTGTAGAGGATCTCCAGACACTGATGAGCAACCTGAACTCAATTTTTTGAGCAGCCAGTGAGTAATAATGCATAAACAATACTTGTTTGTTGATGAAACTACTCACTTCAAATATGTTAGTGAAATTCAGGACAGTATATTTTTTCCCCTTCCAAGACTCAAACATGTCCATATCTTTAAATATGAATATGATTAAGTTTTTTTCCAAAGGAATTCACATGTTGTGTATAGTGAAAGGTTTAATGTATTTGAAATGTATTTAGACTTGTACAAACACATACAGATATTGTCAGTCTGCTTCAAATACACCTGCTATTAAATAAAGCTTAAACTCATTCTTCAGTGAATTAATCTAAATCACCATTGTCCAAGTTTAAACAATTTTTTTTCTCTGTATTTCCCACAGTCTAAGTGAGGTCAGTTCAGTTCACATGTTTTGTTTAGTGGAACCTTGGAGTTGCACAAGGCCAGTGCCTTTTTTTTGTTTGCTTTTTTACATGTATATTGCCTCATCATTGTAAGGCAGATTCCAGGCCTCAAGCTCCTGCTGTTGGGTTGAGATTTTCCAGTGTTTAGATGGAGCATAACAGCATATACTCCTGCACTGCTGGAGCCTGAGCATCCTGCGTGCTGGATCACAATTACAGTTGTGATGTATGAACAAGTCAGAAGACAAGTGTTCAATGATAATAGGATTAGTATTGGGAGATTTAATTCCTTTATCTCTCCAACCAATAAAACATCCATTGTTTTAGTGCTGGCTGGCGTTTTCCATTTAAATCAGATTTCTATGGAGACTCTGGAAAACTGTTACGTGAGTGTAAATGAGATTAAGCTGATGCTGCAGTTCTTTATTATCTGGGCTATTAAGATTCAACACCTGAACCGATCCCTTTGTAAGTGTGAATAGAAAAAGTAATGTAAGAAAGTCAGACATTTGAAGAAAAATGCCTGAATAGATTTGGTGGCAGTTTATGACTGAGGAAAACGACACAGAATTTGTGATGGAAAAGCTATTCTTCTCCTCTGTTAAATTTGCTTTATCTATGTTAGTTTGCTGTTATAACACACAGAAAATAGATGTAAGATTTTTTTTCCCCTGGAGTTAGAAATAGATTTTTCCTTATTGAAGACTGTTGTATCTTTTATTCTGTGCATTCTCTGCAGAAAGTGCTGAGCCCAAAGACTGAACATGCAATGAACTGAAGTATTGTTTGCTGCTTTATGCTTCTGCTAGCAAGACATGAAGTGAATTTTCTACCAGAGTGGAATTGGTTTTCAGTCCTTGTCATGCATTTGTCTTTCAGTCTGACATCCCTGTTGTGAATGGCTTTGTCTGTGGACTCTGCTTTGTACCGTTGGCAACGACTAGGAGCTGAAAGCTCCTCCCAGACTCTATCAGAATCGACACCACTGCTGCTTTCTGTCAGAGACAAATCCAAACTCAACTTAAACAAATGGAGGATTGTGTTCCCTGACAATGGGAGACAGTGGAAATACTGGAAACAAGCTTCTGTGTTTTATTCTGGAAACAGGATACAGACCACAAAATACACGTGGTTCACTTTTTTGCCCCTAAATCTTTGCAAGCAGTTGCACAGGTAAAAAAAATTCATTCAGTGATACATGAGATTTAAGAGCTCTCTCTGAGAGTGATATTTGAGGGTGATGGAGAAGGGCTGCTTTTGTAGTTGCCATATTACTAAAATTTAGGTGACGATTATTTGTAACCAAATGTCACTTCAGTCACACTGAAATGGAGGTTTGAAACAAGTAAACACTAGGTGTGCTTAACTAATGCTGTGACCAGCTTTCTTGTTTGAATGCTGGACTAGTTTTCTATGTAAAAAATGTCAAGTTTTTATTTAAAAATCCCTCTGTTTCTGTGTTGAATAAACCTCTAACTTTTAAGAAAATGAAAAGACATTCCTGGAATGTTCTGAGACACCTATGAAATGCTGTAGATTTCAGAGGCTCATAGATTAATTTTGGTACATCTTTAATGGTATGCAAGTGATTTTGTCTACCAACTTATAAACAGTATACCTGTATATGGAAGTGCTAGGTCAGGTTTCTTTCCAAGTGCTGGTTTGAAATTATATAACCCCCCAGCATAATGAATCGTGTCAATAAGATGCCCAGAGAAACATCATTATGATAAAGATAAATGGAATTTGTATATCCATCTCCAGCTTTGACATTTTCATTCAGTGTATTAGATTTGCACATTCATAATTTGACCTTCCACCTGTGGTATCCTTCATGTATTCCTGATGGGGACATTTCCATAATTCTGAACATGTGATTTTTTACAACCATTCTGTTGCTATTGGTTTGGAGTTTTAAATTTTTTGGGGCTTTTTTTTTATTTGGTGCTTATTTTCAAGACTGAGGCAGTGGGGGGATCATTAAAGAAGTTTTAGCTCCTAGAGATAAAAGGTGTTTGTAATATGTGGGACAACGGAGGTAGCTATGATATTATGAAAATATATCTCACAGGCTCTTCTAGATTAAAAATTAGCATCTCAATAAAACAACTGATTAATTTGTTCTGGGAAAGGAAGAGGAGGGTAGAGGAGTGACATGATTAACGTTCCTTTGACACAAAATGGGGGATGTTCAATAAGTAAAGGACCCATTCTGATTTCTGACTATTTTTCATTTATTTTATACATTTCCAGGCTGGCTAATCTTTATTTCTTCTTTCTGGTGGTTCTGAACTGGTTCCCACAAGTGCAAGTCTTCCACAGGGAGATTACTATGCTGCCTCTGATTGTGGTGCTGCTTGCCAGTATGATTAAGGATGCTATTGAAGACTACAGAAAATACCGATTTGATAAGATGATAAACTTTTCTAAAACCAGGGTATATGACAAGTAAGTAAACTAAACCAATTATTTTTCTTTGCATTTGATGTGGTGGAAACTCCTCATCTGATTTTGCAGTACCTCCCCCACAGTAAGTTTGGAAAAAATGTTATAAAAGAGTTTTGTTCTGCATTTAAAAATGCCTCGTTTATCTCACTTAAGTGATCCTGATATCACTGAAGTTTTGTTTCATATCACAGAAGTGTATGCTGATATATGAGTTTTCATTCCAAGTTTCCAAAACGACTTGCCAACACACACAACATTCTCTCCAGGTAGGAGAAGGATCTGGAGGAAGAATTAAACATATCCAAGTCTGGAAAGGATTACTGGCACTGTTTAACAAATTGGAGCAAAGTCTTTCAGACATCTCACACTAAAACCATTAATACAAAAATGAATTATCAGCCACATTCAGGGTGAAGCATAACCAGGAGCTGAAAAAAATTTTATAGGACTTCAGTAAACACAGGTGATTGATACAGCACGGTTTCGCTTTGGAGATGATACAACACCCACAGTAAGCTGTGATGTTTGCTCAGTACTGACTCAGAAGGAATAAATATTTTCATGTGCAATTCTTATTGCAACATTTTGATTTCATCAGAATTTCTTGTCCAAGTACTAACTTGACTTGAGACTACTTAGCTTGTCACTATGTAATTCAATAGATGAAGTTTTCACTTACAAGATGTTTAAATGTTTGGATCTCTTCCTTTTTTCGCCTCTTCTTAAGCCCAATCCATAGAGAAAAAATTACTATGGTTCATACACATCTCATTAGCTCTCTTGGAAATTAGCCCTCATCTATGCTTACAGACTTATGTGTCAGAGGCACAAGGACCAATGGGGAAGAAGAAATGGGAGGCTGGAAGGCGTTACTGGGTGAGAGGAAAGCTTTGGGTGTCCAGAAGCAGGAGGTCTGTCAGAGGTGAAGGATCAGGCAGAGGGGTAATCTAGGTAAACTGCCCTCCAGTTTCCTCTTGTCTATGTATAATCTCACAACTACCAAATCATAGGTTTGTTTGGTTTGGGGGAATGGGTGTTGTTTGATAATCCACGCGATGGACGTGAAAACAACTAGTAGATAGAGGAAGTAAAAGAAAGAAATAATGTCTGTACTGAGGCTTCTAGCAATCTTCTGTTGGCTTCTGGGACACAGAGCTCTGCCCATTACCTTTGAACTTCCTGGCAACTCCCAGGCTTATAAAGTGATTCTGAAACTCACAGAGTGAACCGTGACAACTGTGTGTATGTTCTTAGCTTTGTCACTGCTCTGTGTTGAAGAAGAGACACTTCATGTGAGCAGGTAGTCGATGCCAGGTAAATGCTCTGAATGGGGCCTCTGGGCATTTGCTAGCAGGAATAACAAAACATTCCCGACGCTGTTGTCATTGGAGAGGTGCAGCCTCCCCAGCTGGCTCTAGGGCCCAGTGCAGCTGAGTCAGGATGATACCTGTCCCTGGGCAGGTGGAGGTTGGAGTTGAAGGAGAGGCAGCCCTGGGCTTCAGACATCTCGAGTCTTCTCTCCACCACCTAGGAGTTTGTTTGGATTATTGAACTCTTCCAAATGTATTGGTTTTCAACTTGAGGGTACTTTTTGAGAGGAAAACAAGATGTCAAGGAAGAGTGTTCCAGGCTGCTTCTCTAGAATGATATGGAAAAAACATTTTTTCAAGGAAACCTGCTGCCGATGTGGTGCTCCAGACACTGAAATCCAAAATGAAGAGCTGGAGAAGAGAGTAAAAGTAAAGAAAAGAAAGAAGAAAAATGAAAATAAACGAGTGATCATCTCCAGTGTGCCCTTTGGAAGTAAGAAGTGGAAAGAAAATCCAAACAGATACTATGACTCCAATAAAATTAAGACCACAAAATATACCATCTTGACTTTCTTCCCTAAAAATATCTATGAGCAGTTTCACCGCTTTGCCAATATTTATTTTGTGGTCATTGCACTGCTGAATTTTGTGCCAGTGGTGAATGCTTTCCAACCAGAAGTTTCTGTAATCCCAATTTGTGTTATAATGGCCATTACAGCCATTAAAGATGCTTGGGAAGACTTTCGACGGTATAAATTAGACAAAGAAATCAATCATATGGGATGCTACATTTACAGCAGGTGAGTTTCACACACCTTTTATTACAAAACAAGTTGGCTTGAGATCTTTTATTGTGGTGAGGCTTTTTGTTTAAAAATTTAATAAATAACTGATGGAAAATCACAGTGGTTAAGTGAAACAGCGAAAAGCCATAGCAACTATATATCACCTGGTATTTGTTCTGATATAAAGAAAGGTATTTCTTTTTTGTTTAAATCTCATTTCCAGACTGGAAGATAAGTTTGAATTTCGTATTATTGGTGTGGCTATCAGCCTCTTAAACACAGAGTGCAGTGAAAACAAGTGCTTAAATAGCTACAAGCACCTGAATTTCTAAGGAATTTTCAAGAGGGTTTAGTTCTGTCGATATAAGGTGGCACAGAACAAGATCTGTGATGGGACCTATTTGCATTCTTAAATGTCAAGAAGCCTCTTAAAAATGTAGCCCTTTGAACTATGTTCAGTTTTATACTCTGCACTGTGGACTAGCTTTCAGTTGTATTTCTTTTACTAGGTTGTATGTAAAATAAAACTGTAAAAATGCAGTTTAAAAATGGGAGATAGTAATATATGCCTCTGTTCAGTTATCTCTAAATGAATTAACTACATGTGTCTGTGCTCACTTCTTCAAAATGTTTCATGAACTCTTGCTTATAGGAATTTGAGAAGTTTGAAAATTCTGTTTTATTGTATCAAAACTATTCTCTCAGAAAAGTAGAAAATAACTTATCCCTTTTAAAATATCACATCTGGGAGTCAAAAGAGCAAAACTTTCCGTCGCTGTGAATGTTGCCTGTCATCCTTCAAATTAATCAACAGTGCTTTATATAATGTACGCTTTCACAAGCAAGACCTTGCAGAACTCTGGCTTTTATCGTGCAATGCTGTCATTTTTGTTTGCTTCTCTTGCATGTGTTTGTCAGATTTTTATTTTTGTATCCTGCTAGTTAAACAGGAAAACAATGGATTTGCTTGTTTGGGGGCTAAACTTATCCCCACATATAGATAATTACTTGTCAAAAACAAAATCACACTGCTCTCCTTGCCAACTTGTCCAAAAAAGCAGACATTTTACAAGTTTCTAAATATTGTTCATCTAAGATTTCTTCCCTTCCACCATGAAGACTGTCAATACCTGGAGTTTTTTGGGTAGGGTGGCAAAATTGCCTCTTCTCCCTATCTTTGAGATTGCAATCTAGTCAGATTTTTTTTCAATGTTACATTAAGTCATGAGGCAATGGATTATTTGTTAACACTTGTTAAAACTAGTACAAAAGAGAATAGGGGTGCAGTATGTACTAATGAATGAATTCCCATAGGAATCTTATTTATTTCCTCTTTACATAAAGCAACCACATTAATTTACATCTGAAAAGTTTTTACCATGGGAACATGAGAAGTGGGGAATACAATAAAACTTGTTCTGTATAAGAGAAAAATGTCCATCATGGAATTACAACATACATACAGATACAGATTCAAGTTATAGCCCTGAGTACTTTCTTATGCAGAAACTTGATATGGGCCTGTCTAAAAATTGGTTAACTCATCCCATAAAAAATACTTTGATCTATGAATAAATTTTGTCTAGAATCTTGGTTTTCACCAAAGTTTTATGGCCCAAAAAGGTGATGTAAGGGAAAGAAAATGAGGAGGGCTTCAAATGATACAATTCATCCTGTCTGGAAAAACTGTAGGTAATTACAATTGCCTTCAGATCAGTAGCTACAGCTTATTATAACATGAATAATTTTAATCAGGCTTCAGTAGCGCTTTGGGAAGCTGATATTTCTTGTTCTTCTTGCTAGCTGTAAAGAACATGGAAGAGCATGATGTCTTGTAACTTTCTTCCTTCTGAATCATCTGCTGTAGGTAATTTTTTAACATAGGTGAAAGTCTATTTTAAGACAGTGCAAATTTTGTTAATCTTGTGGCAGCAAAAATTTCTTTTTAATAGAGCAACTGATTTTCCATCCTAAGATGCAAGATTTTAAGAATTAATCTTGGAGAGGATATTGTCTTTATTTCAGATTTCAATAACAAGAACTCTGGTTCCTGTTCCAAAAGAAAGACAAAAGCAGAACAATCTTTTCCGAATGCTGAGTGTTCTCCAAAACTTTCTTGAAGATTAGGGGAAATGCAGTAACTTGCCTTCTTTCAACATAGACCAAGGGAAATTGAATTTAAATAGGCTGCCCTGTAAACACATTTCTTCTAATTTTCTTTTCACAGAGATCAACTGGAATGGGAAATCTAGTCTGCTAGTCAAATGAAGGAAAAGATACTTCAAGTAGTTTATTTAATGACTGTTTAATTAAGAAAATGGGGGACAATAGGCATTAAAATGTCTCGAGGAGATGCAATAACTGAGATCTAATGTTTGATTGTGGAGATTTTAATTTCTGAACCAAAGGTTTTGAAATCATAATAATTGTATACAAACTGTTGTGCTGTCAGAACGAATCGCACAACACCAAAAGAAGCGAACAGGAAATTGAATCACAGATGGTACAGACCTATGTTTAATTGCCTCCCTTCTCCTTGTATTATTTAAAATATATTTTGTCTGCTTTTAAATTTTCCAAAAAAGAGGGCTTCCATTAATAAAAAGTGTGATTGTCAAAGCATTTTCTATGATACTATGCTTTATTATACCTCTTTAATTACATTTAAATACTTCAAGTCACCTGGTTTCATACAACAATAATTAGTTATTCTTCATCCATAACATTTAATTATAGTCTTCAAATATGTGTGATTTTTATCATGTTCATTTTGCTATGCCCAGGCACCTTTTCATCAAGATCTGTATATAGATCAGTCTTTTCATCTTTCTTGTCAGTCAGTTCCTCCGAACCTACTGTGGTTGCTTTTCTCTGAACTGTCTCCAGTTTGTCATTAACTTACTAACAACAGAGGCTGGCACTGAATGTAGTGTAGAAACCTGTAAGTGAATGTCAACCCAACAGTTGCTACAAGCTATTATTTATTTCTCTTGAAGTTCTATAATGTTCAAGGAACTACTTGATATGTAATTAATGTATGGCCTGGATCTGATATACCCCTGGGATTAAGTTATAACGGTCTGTAAGTACTTCCCAGCATCCAGACAGGTTTTTACATCAATTTCACATTTCTGGAAGATTTAACCTAAATTTTTCTCAGTGTGACAATAGACACACAGATAAATATGCAAGGACTATGTACAGTTCCAAGATGGTACGGCAACACACTTGACTGAATGTGCGTACATCAGAGAGCAGCAGCCATAAAAACATTAACATTACTTAAGCTATTCACATTGCTTAATTTTAAGCACCTAAACTTGGATATCTGAGACAGTGACTCAGAGAAGCCTAGTTTATATGCTTTGAATCAGCTTGTGGAGCTGTCGGATAACTAGGTGAGTCAACAGGCATCCCAAATGAGATATCCCAATTACTCTTTCAACAGAAAGTTCCTCTGTGATGCTTTCAGGCCCTGTGGTTTGCAAGTAGTTCCTACAAGCATCAATCTCTTCTTCCTCTGTGGGTCCACTGATGTCCGTGATACAAAAAATTCAGGCTGGCCTTCACTGTTGCTCTTTATCTGCCTAGTGTAAGATTTTAGAACATTTAAAGATTTCTGTATCAGCCCTAACTCTTTGTTAGTCCCAAAGCAGTGATTTGGAAATAAAGAAAAAACAACTCATCTCTGTGTTGCACAAGGTCAGAACTGCTAACAGCTGAAAAGCTGGAAGTGGCTTACACTAGACTCACTGGTTTGAAAGAGAATTAAAATATTTCAGTTGATTGAAGTTTTGTAACTCAGTGTTGTAATTTATCTCTATGACAGCAACACATCTACTTGTCTACAGGTTACCATATATATAGTATACTTTATATTTTCTTAAAATTAGGGAAGCTGGGTAGTGAAAATGAAGGCTGCCTTTCTGTTTCAACCTCCTTCATATGCTCAGATCAGCTGGACCTTCTGGAGGGAGGAGAGATTGCACCTCCACTGGATGCTCCCCATGCCTGGGAGAGCAACTGGGATTGGCCAGGGATGCAGTAACCAACAGAGGTCTGTGGAGTCTGGAAGATGACAGAGAAGGATAGGGAGCACGCTTGAAAATGGGAATTGACCTACTGTCATATCTCAGAAGTGAAAGAAAAAGGACAACTTTTCTCTGGACCCCAGAAACATCATATGCAGCTCATTCAACCCAGGGTGAACCTGAATGTGCAGTAGAAAGCAGGATGAGAGGAAAATACCATCCTGCCAAGCGCAGAGTAAACAAAAGAGATTTGTTGACAATGCTTTCATTTAAAGTCTTGAACAGCAGCACTGAGTTTTCACTTGTTAAAGAGCCTCTTCTTTCTGCTTTATTATTTTTGTTTTCTAACAAAACATAACTTTATGCTGCTGGAGGCTTTAGTGGATTCATTTTATACACCAAAAAAAAAAGAGAGAGTCTAAAGCCTGTGGCCCACCTGAAGTCCCACCACATTCCCTTAGGCAAAATTGCAGTCAGTTGTCTTGGACATAGCAATATCAAGGCTTCTACACTTCAGTAGTGCCTTCTCTCAGCAGTGCATGAATTTCATCAGCTGGAGGCTGAAGATCTCCTGGAGATCTCCAGCTCTTGCATGGATGACGGTGCAGTCTTATGACAGCCACAAAGCATGAACCTTGATCAATAGAAAAAAAATATTTCTTCTAAAAGTAGCAGTATGAATAAGTTACAATGACTGCAGGATTATTATGTTCTATGATATTATTGTAACTCACTATGCATCAGGGAAGATCCAATGCCATTCCTTTGCTTAATGTCAGACATGACTCTATTGTTCTCTGTGTGGGACTACCACTGGCAGTGGGCATCCTCTGCTCTATCTGCTCTGTTATCCGTATAACTTTTGTATGTACTTCAGGTACTATGGAATTTTTGTGCCTAGTTTAAGTACTGATACCTGAATTATCAGTGGGTTTTACAGAAGGCACAACAGTGCCTTCTCTTTGTGCAAGGTGAGGCATTATT